GAACAGCTTGTTCAATCTCTGTCATCTGTCCAAGAACATCACCCCTTGCCTAAGGGAAGAGGTCTAGAAATGCCTCAAGCTGATGGACAACAGAACAACGTTCCCTTCAACAAATTTGTTGAATCTGCTGAAGAATTTGGAGGACAGATCCTCCAAGGCATGAACAAACTGATTGAAATCAATGACAAACACTATGGGCACCTTGCTCATGTGAATGACAATCTAAACTCAGGTATGCAGTTCATCTCTGATCGTTTTGAGAACCTCACAGGAACTCTCAACAACTTCATAGCCTCATCATCTGCCAGAACAGATGCCCTGTCAACAGAAGTGGTAGGCATCCACAACACTCTTTCTATCTTCCAGCAGACTCTCCTGAGTCAAGGACATGCAATTCACAATATCTCAGAGCATCTTGAAGCTCTGAAGGAATCTGATGCCAGGACAGAGAGGCACTTGACCTCTATTGAGGCAATGTGCAGAGTTCATCAAGAACAGGCTCAAGCACTTCTTTCTACTGACAGAGATCGTTATCAGAAGATGGTGCTTCTTGAAGCCAATAACAAGGACATCTTCTCTGCCATACAGAAGCAGCAAGGTCTCATTGAAGGCCTTACCTCTGTCACCCAGACTCTACCAGAGGCCCTGGAACAGATAGCCTCAACCCAAGCCTCAGAATTCCAGAAGATCAGCCTAATGATAGAAGACCTGAATGATGCCAAAAAGGGGGAAGAGGACCCTCAACAGACCAGGCCTAGGTCCCACAGAACTCCTACCGGGGCACCCTCCTCTGCTGAGCCTGCAGTAGATCCGGCTCCCTACTTTGAAGCTGCCCTACAAAAGAAAAGAGCAGCAGGCATACCTAGACCCCCATCTCCAGTAAAGAAGAGCACCAAGAAGAAGAAAGTTTTCAACTTCACTGAGTGGAGATTGGGTGGTTCTCAGCAAATTGACAGAGCTCAATTTGAGGAGATGAAGGCTAAAATGACTCCTACCTAACAACAGCACCTCTATTTGGACAAAGATGGTGTTGTCAGAGTTAGGTATGGGGGATCACTTGAAGAAGCAGAAGAATGGTACAAGAAGAACATTGTCCCAGGAAAGACCATACATGAAGGTGTCCTCAACTATTTAGACTGCAAGCTTTCTCCAATATGGGCATCTTTTCAAAGGTCTGGCAATCTGTTCAAAATCAGAGCTGAAATAAATGAAGAACTGCTCAGGCTTCAAAGACTAGAGGAAGAAGCTCTACAGGCAGCTAATCTGGAGAATGTGTAAGGTTTAAACTCTGTAAAACCTATCTGATAAAATCACATCTCTGCCTTCTTACTTTGAAGTGCTTTTCCTCAATTTCTTGTCTTTTTGCCTTCTGCTTGTGTTTGTTTATTTCTGTTATATTCTGCTATCTGAATGTATCGTACTCTTACTATTTTCCTATGCCAAGTTGCCCACCAAGATTTTAATGGAAGTTTTTAAACTTAATTTTTTTTATGGTGAAGGCACTTCTCTGGAAATAGTTAAAGGGTTTTGGCATCATCAAAAAGGGGGAAATTGCAAGGAATAATTGTAATTAGATTTTGATGATGCTAGATTAATTAGGACTTTAGAGTACCCCCTTTAGAAATTATGTATTAAAATTTTCCTTTGTAAAGTTCTTAGAATAATCGACTTGACAGAAGACCTTCAAGAGCAGAAGGACTTCAAGAGCAGAAGGGCTTCAGAGCAGAAGACCCTCTTAAGGCATTATTGAAACAGAGGACCTTTGGTTCTCTGCTCCAGAACAGAAGTCCTCAGGATCTCTGTTAGTCTTGACTCTGACAGAAACCCTTCTGGGTCTCTGTTGGATACTCTCCCAACAGAAGTGCTCCAGACCTCCTCTGTTCTACTCTCAGACAAAGACACCAGAAGGTCTGACACTTAGAAGAATTTCAAAGAACCGGGAAGTCAACTAAAAGATTCCTTCAACGGCTAGGAGTATGGAACGGAAAAGCTACAGTGCATGCATTAAATGCTCATTTAATGCACCCCATGCTACGTAGAGTAATTGCAGATGATTGGCCGCAATGTCAGGAATACTTTATCCCAAAATAGTAACCCGCCAACTTTATCGGGCTCTACTAGTCAAGTCAACTGATCGCGCATTAAATGCAGTTGTCCTCCTACTCCTCCAACGGGAAGACAACCTCAGTATAAAAGATACACTACGAAGAACAACCGGATAACTTTGCCAAGACAACTTTTGCTAACCATTGCTACAAACAAGATATTCAAACTCTGAAAAGCAAAAAGCCTCCTTAAGATTCAAACTCATTATCTTCTACAAGAGAAGGCAGAAGTTGGAAAAATACTTTTTCCAACTCAAGCAAAGTTCCAAGTGTTCTTCAACTCTTCAAGCTCATCACATACAAATCCTTTGTAACGAAGCTAGTTGGAGGAACCCCTGTTTCAACAGAAACTCTTCTTGCTACAAGAAGGACGTCCAAGTAACTGGAGTAGTGAAGTGGTGATACTTCAAGGAAACTCAGTGAAAGGACCAGTGTTAAAGGAAGCCAGGCAGTGCATCCCAGGACACATCTAGGCTTGAAGAAGACGTGGAGTGCTTCTTAAGTACTAGGACTAAGGCTTTGTAAACGGCAGTTTTTACAGCTTAGTGGAACAGTGGATTAGAGGAACGAGTTGTTCCTTGAACCACTATAAAAATCCCTGGTGTCGTTTACTTACTGCTTTTAATACTTGCACTTAGATAGAACTGTCTAACTCCTTGGACTTGGTGTCTGTGTTCAGCAGAACTTGTTCTACGAGTTAACAGAAGGCCTACTGCCTTTGCTTCTCTGAGGCTAACAGAACTCGCTACTAGAACCCCATCCGCTGCCAGTCTGTTCTTTCAACAGAACAGGCTATTCTGTAAATCTGGTACTTAGTTTAAAAAGCTAAAAACCAATACAGTCTATTCACCCCCCTCTAGACTGTATCCAGTATAACCGGGACCAACACCTCATCGTCATATGGGTAGTACTCGTTGTCCAAAGGTTTCATCATAACGACTAACGAAGGCCTAGAAGGAATTACTTTGGATCTAAGGGTGATTTTCCACTAACACTAGATAAAGGCCCTAGGGAAGCAAAATATGCAAGAAATCGGAGAAAAGTGTGATGAACTGACCTTTGAATGTTTGAAGTTTTGAAGAACACTCGAACAAGCTCTCTCTAGAATTGGGCAGCACTTCGTTATCTCGGAAAGCAATAGGGAGTCCCTTCGATTGGAGGGGAGTATTTATAGACCTCCCCCCCCCCCCCACGGTCACTACACGTGGCACTCCCCTGTTGGCCACATGAACGGCCACCACTCCCAAGGCCCATTGGGCTGCCACCGGTTCAGAAGGTAGGTCAGGCCCACCTCCATCAGTACCAGTCCATCGCCAACGTACCAGTAATCAACATCCATAACGGCCAGCCATTCAACGGCCACCCCAAGCGGAAATATATGCCCCCACAGGGCATGGCAACAATGGCCCCAGCAGTCTAATCTTTCCAAACAGCTGATCACACCACAATATGTACCCATATCGGCTTAACAGCCATCGGCCACAACAGCAAAGCAAAAAACAACTCAACAGCCATCGGCCTTGTATAAAACCCTGATGATAACTTCTTGAAAGCGACCTGCGTCCAAGGGTTCTCCCACAGGGTTACCTTGGTCAGGAAATCGCCAAGGGGTTGGATTCAGGGGAATACAAGAATCCCGCTTCGACCTGGGGTTACACCTTAGTCCTTCACCCCTCGCTCCCTCTTCGGCCTGAAGCAGTGGGGGACTGGGGGACTACACCGGCCTCCGGGATACAAGAAAGGACAAAATCAAAGAAATCCAAAAAATATATACCAAGTCCACAACTACAGCATCAGGACATAAATGCACCATAACGTCTATGACTTGTGGAGCACTTTCGGCCTCAACAAAGTCAGCAAGCGAAGAACTACATCTCCTCCCAAAATGTGACGCGCTCCACTCAACGGCTTCAAGATCACATACTCCACTCTCGGCCAAGAAACAGAAACAGGAACCCAACGTCCTCGGGTCACTATCGTCCACCAGATCAGAGTGCACACGACTTCTGGATACAACACCGCTATCGTCCTCAAAGCATGGACACCAAGCTACGGATACCACCGCTTTGGCCTTAAGCACGAAGCAATCGTGAGGCCTCCTCGGCCAATCCATCAAAGGCAACCGTTGATGACCAGAAAGAACAGCACCCGCATCGGCTATTCAAATCAAGAGCATATACCAGCCACTAAAGAGGCAGGACACTTATCGTCCTCAGACAAACAAACTCACCCCATCGAAGGAACATCAATCCTCTTCGTTTACAGTGAAGGCCATACAACGGCCAGAACGAAGAGCGCCCATAAAGGCCAAAAACAAAGAGCCAGAGCAAAGGACGCCCATAACGGCCAAAATAGGGAAAAACCTATAGCGGTCCCACAACGGCCAGAAAACGTCAAAACCCTAGAATCTACTCTCCCTCACTTCGTCTACATCTCATCTCAGAGAGTGGGGGACTCTTGATGGAGTATATGGGCCTGGACCCCAGGACCCACATACTCAGAACATTGAGAGGCACAGCTATCACTCAGTGGGGCCTCCGTCGGCCAGATGGCCCCCCATCAGCCAGAAAGATATCAACTCAGAACATGGTCCAGAAGCCAGGAGAACCGGGTGTCCCCGTCGGCCGGGGCTCCGTCGGCCATGGCCACGTCGGCCACAAAAGGCTCCCATAACCGGATTTCGTACTTAGTTATTTCTACATATCTTGTAAATGGGCCTCCCAAGCCCAAGACTTGGGAGCCCAGCCCTAATTTCTCTATAAGTACTCCCCTTGGGGGTAGTTGTAGGGGGTTCACAAATCATTTATTGCAAGGAATTATTGCACTTCTCTCTCTAGATCTCACTTCTCTCTAGGACTTAATACTCTATCACCCCATGTACGTCTCCATGTGCCACATGCTCCACAATCCGTAATCATGCTCATTCTTGGATTCTCTCCAATTCATTGCCAACCTCTTCAAATTCGGTGTGTAAAACGTGTTGGATTCATTATCAAGACTCACTTCTGTTAAGTAATCCACAAACATATCTCTCTGTTTTCAAAATTTGCAAGACAATTAATATTAGTGAATCAAATGATTGGTATGTATTACGATGTTGCTGTGTATCATCGACACACTCACCAGACTATAGGGCATCTCACCATACTTGTCATCAATGTCCAACTTATCTAGTGTGTCGTCCAATACTTCAATGTGTTGTTGTTTCATGTTCAAGCATAGAACATAACAGTGTTTGGGTTGCACTATTGGAAAGAAGAACTGCACAAAATACATATTCTGTTAATATACGAAAAAGTTTTCACAAGTTTTCTACAAAATAAAAAAATAAATATAGATTTAAATTTTACCAAATCAACATCTTCCATTTTTATTTCCGGTTTGAGATTTTCCAAAGCCAGCAACATTCCTTCTTTAAAAACTTCATAAGCTTCATTTTCGGGTAGTGGGTGCTCCATGGTGTACAACTGTTTCAGAATGCACAATTGTGACATTAATGTGCACTTCACCAACAAAATAATCAAATTAATTATAAAATAAATGCAGCTTTGTTCATTACGAATCTTACACAAGGAATGGATTTTGCAAACAGAGTGCATGGTGACGTGCTAGATAGAAGACTTCATTATCTACAACTTTGGTGAAGGAATCATGTCCAAATTCCTAGCGCAACATCCCCAAAATCCCAGGACAAAACCGGCGCCGGAATTTCACCAAACCGGCACCGGTTTGATTTAATTTGCTATTTTCCGGATTCGTCAAGAGCAAACCGGCGCCGGGCCACCTCTATAACCGGAACCAGTTATGGTATTTTTCCGTATTTTCCCAGCGCCGGTTAGGTTCGTTTCTGCACAAAACAGGGAGACGTGCAACAATATTTTGATGGGAAATTCTCACCTTCCTCATGATCTGATCAAATATATCTTCCATGTCTAATTGTTGGGCTCGAATAGACTAAAAGATGCCAATATTTAGCCTATATAAATCCATAAATTCATCAAAAAAGATCATCATTCTATCTTTGGAGCTTAAATTTGAGTTTTTATATTTTACTTTTGTATTATCTTGAAGAGTTGGAGAAGAAGCCATTTCTCTCCTCTACAATTGGTTCTAGGTAATTTTTCTTGTATGTTATTGTATTTCCTTATTCTTAGTTACACTTTTGTAATTAATATGAGCATTAATAGCTAAATTCTTAGGTAAGGCTAGGGATGAACTTTTATGCTTACTAGGTGTTTGATAAAAGTTCTAAACCAATAAATTGTGATTTATCCTTTATACTTTGATTGTTAATGACTATGGTGTACAACATAGAAATATATTAAATTTAGTTTATACTTTCAATTTACGTTGAAGTCTAAACTATGAACATTAAAGGATAAACATATATAATACTGAGAATAGAATATATCTGGTCTTATATGATACGGGTGTAATGTCTTGATATTCAACGGGTTTTTCGGTGGATGAATGTAAGCCGTAACGGGACTTACACGTAACGAAAACCACGCTCTCGCTGCCTTAACTGGAGTTGAGAATATATTAGCGACATCGTATTCATAATTATTGGCAAAGAACTAATATTTAACCCTATTAAAGCATTTAAGTGATTCTTGAAGCCTTAGTTGTTGTTATCATTCATCTTAAACTCAAAATTAGTTAACGATTATCTTCTAGAACAAAAAGTGAAAAACCAAAAATATAAAACACAAATCAAAATCCCTACACTTTACTCATTTATTTATTTAAAGTCTTTTAATCCCGGACTAAATTAAACAACGTTTCCCTGTGGATTCGACCCGGTATTTTACCGGAATTTATTACTATATCGGCACTTGTATACTTGCAATTTTAGCCCGATCAAGTTTTTAGCGCCGTTGATGTGGAAACGGTCTTGTTTAATAAAGTCCAAAGAGAAAAAAAAAATCACTCAAAAATCCTGAATTTATTTTACTCTTCACAACTTCACTTGATCTTGGAAGGGTTTATTTTTGTGTGTGTAGATATTCCTTTGTGTTTGCATGCATTTGAGAAGTCGAGGTTTTAAATCTCTTGAACCACTTGATCTTTAAAAAAAACTTCCAAACACATTCGGAAGGAGCAAAAAGCCACAAAGATGATGCCCACACTAAACGAGAGGAAGAGACCCGTTGTTGCAACCTCCCCATCAATACCTTGCAAACACAATTATCAATACCTTGCACTTTTTTCCCATTGAACAAGGTATCAAAGTATGACCTCCGCATCTCTTTTATTTCTTCGTCCTCTATTAGTACCCTATGATCGACATCATTCACACACTTAACTTTTCCGATATCTTGAGTCCTACGGTCACGAAGGTGAACAAATCTGTAGATATCTTTTTCTCCTTCCTTAGAATCCAACTTTACATACAAATCCTTGTTCACTTTTCCTCTAGCTTCCTTCACAGCTTTCTTTGCTCTTGTTCTTGTTGGAAAAATGTGTTAAAAATTGGATTAAATGGTCATTTTGGAGCAATTATTTGAGTGTGGTCCACTTCCGATTTGGGTCGGGTCAAAGTGGTTTCGGATTGTCCTTGTTAAGGGATACAATTCGATATATGGTACACTCAAAACGGATAATGGGTGAATGAGAAATTGATTCTCGAAGTTCACTCGTTGAAATGGAAAAACTGGGAAAATGATGGGTTTCTAGTGTGTTTTATCCCACACCGAAAAACTCAAGGGATTTTCACCCCCTTATAAAGGGAAGCCTCTTTTAAGGAGTTAAGATTCCTAAGGGTAAAGGCTCTCTCTTACGCGCAGGGGGGGATGCCGATCAAATCCCGAAACGGAGAAGAAAAACCGCGACTCGTGTGCGCGGGCGACCTGCGGACACGAATGTCGTCCGAAAACCTATCATTCAAAGATACGGTCTAATTTTCTAAGTGTTCTTACTGTGTTCTTACTGTGTTCCAGTTCGCCGGAACTTTCGTTTGTGTGCTCAAACGATCGTTCGTTAGCCACCGTATCCTAGGAAACGGTCATTGCAACGCTCTTAGCACCGTGGGAGGCGACGAATACGTTTTAAGGACATCGTGCGTAGCACGAGCTCTGGCTAAAATTTGTTCCATCTTATTTTCTGTTTTCTTTTAGCTATTTTGTTTATTAATTAATTTTATTTAATTAATATTTCTTCGTTTTTTTCGAAACACACCCAACAATCTTAAAACGTATTCGGTGATTGTTCTACTCCGGTAAACAATCCTAAAACGTATTTTCCTTGGTTGTTGTACTGCGGTAAACAATCTAAAAACGTAGTTTGTCACTTCGGTGAACGGACTTATTTTTTGTGTTTTCGGAAAACGTTGAAAACGTTAAAATGGCTTCGAAAGAAATTGGAAATGTTGGTGGGTAGAACGTGCCAAACGATAATCAATCTGAAAGTGGAGCACCGGTGAACAATGGTTCACAACGCGGTGCATCTACTTTGGGCAACCAAGGGGCAATCCCTATGGTTACCGTGCCGAGCAACTCTGTGGAGAAACCCGAAAAATTTAACGGGTTAAACTTCAAGAGGTGGCAGCAAAAGATGCTATTCTATCTCACTACTCTCGGTCTTGCAAGGTTCTTGACCGAAGATGCGCTGGTAGCAACCAAGGGTGAGGTGGATGCGCAATCTTTCAACGCGGTTGAAGCTTGGAAGCATTCTGACTTCCTTTGCCGAAACTATGTGTTGAACAGGCTGCATGATGCTTTGTACGACGTGTATAGCAAACTAGCTACGGCTAAGGAGCTATGGAATGCTTTGGACCACAAATATAAAAGCGAGGATGTCGGTGCAAAGAAATTTGTTGTTGGTCGATTCCTTGATTTTAAAATGGTGGATTCGAAGACGGTCTTGAGTCAAGTTGAGGAAATGCAAATGATCTTCAACGAAATTCGAGATGAAGGAATGACAGTTAGTGAGTCTTTCCAAGTGGCGTCAATTATCCATTTATTGCCGCCGGCTTGGAAGGATTTCAAGAACTACCTTAAGCATAAGCGAAAGGAAATGAACTTGGAGCAATTGATCCTCCGTCTGCGGATTGAAGAGGATAACCGGAAGACCGATGGGAAACTGTTAGAACTCGAATCCAGCTCAGGTCTCGGTCACTTTCATCCACAAAGGATGAATTTCACACTCTAGGGTCAACAAGGGGAGAGAGGGGCGTCGGCCAGCGGCTATTTCTGGCCAGTTCGAACGGAGCACCCACAGAGAGACTGAACAGAGATACAAGGGTTTCGGCTTCTGCAGAATCGAAGACAAGGTATGGAATAAATAGGCCAAGATCGGATGCCATACATGGAAACTTGCCTTAGGAAGAAGATACGCAGTTAATGGCGCAAAGATGGAAGGCACCGGAAAGAAGGAGCCAAAGCAGTTCGCAGAGATCAGAAAACAGGGCCGGCTAAAGCCTTTGATAATGGGCTGGAACCTCCTTAAGTGCAATTGGGCTTATAGAACTACCGGGCCAATACCAACACATTCTCCACCTTATTGGACCTTAGTGGTTTAGAGTCAAACGCTCTAACACAAATTTGAGACTCATCATCGCTGGATTGCCCGAATAATCACAAAGACATATTCAGGCAAAGGGGTAAGATCACCGGGCAACTTAACCGCAATCAATGTTTAACGTGCGCTTGCACGACAACAACTTTTCGACAGAGAGACATTTAGTCCCCATGTCAGCAGGATTAAATTCAGACGGAATTTTAAACAACTTGATATCACCTGCACTAACAATATCACGTATAAAATGAAATCTAACATCAATATGCTTAGTTCTATCATGAAAAACAGGATTTTTGCACAGTTGAATAGTAGATTGACTATCAGAAAACACACAAATGTCCTGATTAAGACTACCAATCTCCTTTAGGAGACGCTTAAGCCAAATGGCTTCCTTAAAAGCTTCGGTAGCGGCCACATACTCGGACTCAGTAGTGGAAAGGGCAACTATGGGTTGAAGTTGAGACTTCCAACTAATGCAAGACCCGCAAAGGGTAAACACATAAGAGGTAGTGGATTTCCTATTGTCTCTATCGTTAGCAAAATTCGAATCCACATACCCACTCAACTTAACACCCTCAGAACACCTAGTGAAAACCAACCCATGATTAACAGAAGATTTCAAGTACCTAAGCAACCACTTAAGAGCATTCCAATGAGGTAAACCAGGATTAGACATATACCTACTCAAACAACTAACAGCATAGGCAATGTCGGGTCTAGTACTCACCATGAGGTACATCACGGACCCAATAGCATTGGAATAAGGCACAGATTTCATTTTAGCAATTTCAGGAGCAGTCTTGGGAGACTGATCCTTACTTAACACAAAGTGGGACGCCATAGGGATAGAGACGGTAGTAGCAGAATGCATGTTATATTTACTCAAAATCTTTTCAATGTATGAAATCTGATTGAGTACTAAC